AGTCATTACGGACGCAAGCGACATCGCCATCGGAGCTGTACTGTTACAGGACTTCGGCAACGGCCTACAACCCATCGCATATGAATCACGAAAACTGCATCCGCCCGAGAAGAAGTACCCGATACACGACCGCGAGATGCTCGGGATCGTGCATGCATTCAAAGTCTGGCGCTGTTACTTGACCGGCGCAGATGTGACAGTACGGACAGACCATAAATCTCTACGGTACCTCCACGCACAGCCCCACCTCAACCCACGACAGGTCCGCTGGCTCGATTTCCTCGAGTCGAATTTTCATTACACGGTCACCTACAAAAAAGGGGCATCAAACATCGCCGACGCACTGACCCGCCCCACTGCCCAAATCCATGCAGTACTACTCGCCCAAACCAGCCCACTATTGACAGGACTATTTACCCATGGATATAAAACAGACCCATTCTTCACATGCAGAAATTCGCAACAGTTCGCAGCAGCAAAATGGATTTATTACGTAAAAGCCGGCACCGACCGCATCTGGGTTCCGGGGTTACACTTTACTACGGGAGCTGCTATTACAAGAGGCATACGACGGACTTCGGGGTAGAAAAGACATGGCAGCAGTTGCAGTGGTATTAATACTGGCCAGATTTGTTGACCGACGTGCAACGACACGTGGCATCGTGCCCCACCTGCCAAATCATGGAGTCATCACGGAAGCGGCTGGCATGACAGTTGCAGCTGATACCACCCCCAGAGCGTGCTTGGCAGCAGGTGACGATGGACTTCGTCACGGGGTTACCGGCTGGGGCAAGTGGGAATGACGCAATCCTGGTCGTCGTCGATCGACTCACGAAAATGGCACATTTCGCAGCATATAAGAAATCAATCTCGGCCGAAGAAACAGCAGCCATCATCAGCAATCGAGAGACGAAGTTCACCAGCAACTTTTGGCGGAACCTGTGGCAGCAATTCGGCACACAACTACAGTTTAGTTCATCGTACCACCCGGAAACCGACGGACAGACAGAACGGACAAACCAGACCATGGAGCAACTGATCCGAGCCACGTGCGATGACCCCACCACGTGGGAACACCAATTGCCACTCATTGAGTTTTCGTACGACAATTCGCCATGCGCCACGACCCAACAGTCACCGTTTTACCTGAACTACGGACAATACCCTACAGTATCCATGACCCCGAATCCTGACAACCCCGTACCTCGCGCACACCAGTTCGCGGAAATTTTACAGGCAACACGGACCCGAGCAACAGACGCAATTAAAAAAGCCAATATCATCGCTAAACGCAACGCCGACCGCCACCGCCGACCTGTTACTTACCAGCCCGACGACCTAGTTTTACTCGACACCCAAAACCTCCGCCTACCCATCACCCCAAAACTTCGCCCCCGATATTGCGGGCCATTTCGCATCAGCCACATGATCACTCCCGTCACCGCCCACCACCTCCTTCCCCCTGACTGGTACGTCAGCCCGTCCTTCCACGTCAGCTTACTCCTGTCAGAATGTATTTGCTGTCTAGCCTGCAGTGGGGTACTCTGTAGTGAGTACAACCTAATTTAGGGTTTGCTGTTTGTATCCCAACTTTCTATAGTGAAACATCATCATTCTTTCTTCTCGACTTTCCTCACCCAAAACTCTCTTGACACTCTAACCTAGCTATGGCTCCTAAGTTCTAGCTAGGACTTTTAACATGCTATCAGAGTAGGTCGTTCCTAGGACCTCACATTAATGGGCCCACCACCTAATGCCCTGCTAGCCTAGGCCCCGGCCCGTCGCCCCTTGGCATTGCCCCTAGCCCCTAGGCTCGGGCCCTTGGCCCTGTCGCCCCTAGCTGTGCCACTCGCCCCCGTTGGCCCAGTCACCCCTAGCCGCGCCCCTTCGGCCCCGTCGCCACCTCACGGCCCCGCTGGCCCCATTGCCCCTAGCCGCGCCCCCTTCGGCCCCGCTGGCCCCGTCGACCCCGTCGCCACCTCACGGCCCCGCTGGCCCCGTCGCCCCTGGCCGCGCCCCTTCGGCCCCGCTGGCCCCGTCGCCCCTAGCCGCGCCCCTTCGGCCCCGTTGGCCCCGTCGCCCCTAGCCGCGCCCCAAGGCCCCATTGGCCCCGTCGCCCCTAGTCGCGCCCCTTCGGCCCCGTCGCCACCTCACGGCCCCGCTGGCCCCGTCGCCCCTAGCCGCGCCCCTTCGGCCCGGCTGGCCCCGTCGCCCCTAGCTGTGCCACTCGGCCCCGTTGGCCCCGTCGTCCCTAGGCGCGCGCCCGGCCCGTACCTACCCCGCGACCAGCCCGTACCTAGCCCGCGGCCAGCTCGTACATTGCCCGCGACCGGCCCATACCTAGCCCGCGCCCGGCCCCGTCTCTAGCCCGCACCTGGCCCCGTACCTAGCCCGCGCCCGGCCCGTATCTCTCCCAGCGCCCGGCCCGTACCTAGCCCGCGCCCGGCCCGTACCTAGCCCGCGACCGGCCCGTACCTAGCCCGCGACCGGCCCGTACCTTGCCCGCGCCCGGCCCCGTCTCTCGCCCGCGCCTGGCCCCGTACCTAGCCCGCGCCCGGCCCGTATCACGCCCGCGCCTGGCCCCGTACCTAGCCCGCGCCCGGCCCGTACCTAGCCCGCGCTCGGCCCGTACCAAGCCCGCGCCTGGCCCCGTCCTTCGCCCAGCGCTCGGCCCCGTCTCTTGCCCGCGCCCAACCCCGTAACCAGCCCGCACCTGGCCCGTACCTAGCCAGCGCCCGGCTCGTACCAAGCCCACGCCTGGCCCTGTCCCTCGCCCACGCCCGGCCACGTACCTAGCCCGCGCCTGGCCCCGTACCTAGCCCACGCCCGGCCCAGTACCTAGCCTCGCGCCCGGCCCCGTTCCGTACCCAGCGCCCGGCCCCGTTCCGCGCCCAACGCCCGGCCCCGTACCTGCCCAGCTCCCGGCCCCGTCCCTAGCCCAGCGCGCGGCCCCGTACCCAGCCACGCCCCTCGGCCCCACTGGCCTCGTCGCCCCTAGCTATGGCCCCTCGCGACCTGCAGCCCCTAACCGCGGCCCCGTCGCCTCTAGTCTCGGCCCCTCGCGACCCGTCGCCCCTAGCCGCGGCCCCGGTGCCCTGTCGCATCATGAAGGGTAAGGGGGTGGCAAGAGGGGGTTCCTCCTGCCCGCGTGCCCTGCAGTCACACGCACAGCTCCGCCCCTGCCCCCCTCCCCCCCTTCCCCCCCCTCCGTGGGGATGGGGGGGAGAGGGTGTGAGGGGGTGGCGGATGTGCCTCAGCAACAGCAGCTGCCGCCACGCCTCCTCCTCCCTCTCTCCCTGCCGCACCTTGTGTTGGGAGGGGGGGGGAGCTTGGAGGTTAAGGAGGTGGCAGAGGGGATCTGCAGCACCAGCCCCCCCCCGCCCCCCCCCCCACTTCTCCTCCATCCCCCTGCTGTGGGTGCAGCAGTGGGGGGGAGGGGATCTGCAGCACCAGCCCCCCCCCCGCCCCCCCCCACTTCTCCTCCATCCCCCTGCTGCAGGTGCAGCAGTGGGGGGAGGGTATGGGGGTGGCGGGTGTGTGAACCGTCCCCTACTCCTCCTCCTCCTTCGTCTCCCACTGCTGCAGCTGCCGCTGAGGGGGGTGGGTGTGTGGGAGCCGAGAGAGTGGTGCTAGGAGGGTGACGTGGGAGTGGAGCTAGGGGTGCAGCAAGGGGTGTGTGAAAGGGGGGTGGGACAGTTGGGGGAGGTTGAGCGGAGGCTGCCGTCTTGTCGTCCGCAGCACCTGTAGTCCGGGGCTCTGCTGCTGGTAGCTCAGAGAGCTTGCTGCGCCTGTCGCCCGTGGGTCCGTTGCTCCTGCCGCTCAGAGTTAGCCGCAGAGCCAGTTACTCCTGTAGTCCGGGGCCCTTGCTCCGGTAGCCACCGTGCGCGCCGCTCCTGTTGCTCGTGTGTCTGCAACATCAGCCGTCGCCTCATATCTCCTCTCCTCTCACAGTCTAGCCTCCTCCTCCTCACTTGCCCTTTGTGAATGCCTCTAGCTTTGCTTGTACTGGTGAACCTGCTCTATGACTGCTTGCTCTGCTGATTATACCCCACTTTGACTATGGGGGTGTGTCAGAATGTATTTGCTGTCTAGCCTGCAATGGGGTACTCTGTAGTGAGTACAACCCAATTTAGGGTTTGCTATTTGTATCCCAACTTTCTATAGTGAAACATCATCATTCTTTCTTCTCGACTTTTCTCACCCAAAACTCTCTCGACACTCTAACCTAGCTATGGCTCCTAAGTTCTAGCTAGGACTTTTAACAACTCCGCCCCTACGTGCCATCCACGAGCCACCTGCCCCGCAACCGCCCAGCAAGCATGACCCGACCACCCACCGAGCCCATCATCACACCCGAGAAGATCCCGAGTCACCGAGTTCGAGACCCACGTGGAGTTCGCAGGATCGAGTTCCTGATACGCTAGAAAGACCGCACGCCCACCATTTGGGTACCCCTGGACACAATCGAAAACCACCCCGTCCTCACCGAGTATCTGCGCAGCCGCAATTTCCGAGATGTACACGTACTCTCGTAAGGAGGGCCTCCTAAGGGGGGAGGGTAGTGTAAGGAAATTTCTTTTTCCTTACACCGCATCCCTGCGTAACGCGTACATTACTGTTCTCACCACACCCGGCACCGTTACCACTCGCGACCCTCGCTTCGACAATCTTCCCGCCACTTCGCACGTCGCAACCCAGCCTCCCGGCTCGGCTGGTAACCCGCGCTCCGGGCCTCCGCTTCGACACTTTCCCAACCTCAGTCCCGACCTCAGCCACAGGCCCGTCGCGCATCAACCACAGTTCGTTACCGTTACCACTGTGGCCTTCGCTATTTAGTTCTCGCTCATTCCTTCTCTGATTGTACTGTTTTGCTTCGATAGTGCAATTCTCGCTCGCTCGGTCAATTGCACTCGTAACAACAACTCATAACACATGCGCACAACAGACCACTCACTCCTGTGACTCGTCTCTCTGATTCCCCGTCTCGTCCCTCCCCACAGCGTTCTCTGGCCAGCTCCTCCAATGGAAACAGCTCTCCAGTACCCCTTCTCCCCGCCATCTCTCCCGTTTCCCCACCTCCCCCACCTCTCCCCAACCGCGCACCCTTCTCTCCCACAGCTTCCTCCACCGCCCAGTCCCCCGGGCCTCCACCGCCCCAACCTCCCCTCCCCCCTAACCTTCCCTCCCCCCCACCCCCACTTTCCTCCCACCCCCCTCCCCCCCTTTCCTCGTCTGAAGAGTGGCTCCTTTCACCACCACACCACCTCAGCTTGAGACCTCAGCCAATGGCCATGCAGCGGAGGATACCTATCACTGCCAACTAAAACTTGCCAGCCAACTTTCCACATTGTCCCAATTTTGGTTTCTCACATGTTCTTACAGTTCTCGCGTATTCAACTCGACCATAAATAAAAGCAGCAACGTCGCACGTCCCTCGTCCACGCCTTCACTTGTACTACCTTTGCTGTTAGTTGATTTATCGGTCGCGTACCTGCGAGTCGCGAGCAATGCGTTTGGTTCAACGACGTCGTAATCCCAAAGAACTTCACCGCATCCACTTCGAACAAATAGCGTGCTTCTGCTGAACATACAATGGCTCCTTGATCTTGCCGTTAGTTCATAATCTCCACTGGGACGCGTCAGCTGTTACCAGTCGCAGACATGCCAGGTAAGCATCCCTTGATTCACGGTACCCGCGCCGTCGCATGTCATCGCACGTTTTAGTCACACGCGCTCGATACAACGTTCTATATTCCCAACGTCGCGGTTTCTGCATCTCATTGTTTTGTTCTGGCGGGAAGAGAAGGCTCGAAATCGAAATTAGACCGAGTCAGTTCAGCTGTATAGAAATGTGCGTATAACAAATGTCTGAGAGCTCAGAGACGCCTCGGAAAGAGTCAAGGTATATTCCGTATTGTGCGAACAGAAACAAGGTATCCGTCGCTATGAGCTCGCTTCAGCATGCAGTTTCCTCTGCCGCCGCTGCTGCTGCTGCCGACGCCGATGATGCTGCTGCCACCGCCGCCGCCGCTCCTGCACCACACATCACCTCCTCCTCATGTCTGTTCCACCTCATGCATCCATATCTCCCACCCTTCCACTCCTCTTCCCCCATTCCCTCCCCTCCTCTCCCGCTCCTCCCCCACTCCCCATGCCCACTCTCCCTCCCCCTTCCGCGCGCAGGCCGGGCAACAGTGCAGTACCCAGCGGGACGGCTAGCGGTAGACGAGCTCGTGGTGCTGCTACAGCCGTCGTCGCCCGGCGACGCGCACCCCGACCAGCAGTCGCAGCAGCAGCAGCATGCCCAGCAGCACCCCGGAGACGACTCCGCCGCCCGCTTCTCCCTCCAATCCATCTTCTCCGGCGGAAAACCCGCCCCCGCGGGGCTTCCGCCCCCCGCGGGAAGAAACGGCTCGTCGGATCTAGATGCGGATTTGGACGATGATTGCGGCGGGAGAGGAGCGGGCGGAGGGGGAGGCGGAGGCGGGAGCGGAGGGGGAGGCGGGCAGGGGCAGGGGGGGGCGGCGATGCGGCAGCTGTGGACGTCGAATTGGCTGGAGGAGAGCGGGGTGGTGGTGGCCGTGCCGTCGTGCTCCGACCGCATGGCCGTTGGCTATGGCTCCACACTCGTGCTGCTCGATGGACTCGTCGCGGCGGATATGGGGTGAGGGTGGGTGAGGGTGGGTGGTGGGTGCGGGGCGTGGGGCGTGGCATGCGGCCGCCATCGGACTGCCGACGTGCGATCAGGAGAGTGCGATTAGGTTTCGAGTGGCTCTAGAGGGAGCGGCAAGGGTGGGAGGAAGGGTAGCTGACGTGGCGAGGGCGAATCAGGGAACGGCTGAGGTGAAATCGAGAAGGAAGAGGAAGAGGAAGAGGAAGAGGAAGAGGGGAGTGAGCACAGTAGGGAGCGCACACAAAGGGTGATTGGACGAAGGACGGAGACTAGGCTAGGATAGGGAATGGGAGGGATGTCTGGGAAATTAGAGACTGTGGCAGATATAAGTGAAGGGGGAGGAGGGGAGTGGGGAGCATGTGTGGGCTTGGTGGTGGGATGGCAGGCAGGCGCAAGGGCTGGGCAATGACGGGGGGTGGGTGACTTGGTGGATACAGATGAGTGCTGAAAGTCGAGTCGAGTCGAGAGTCGAGATGTCTCTAAGGCCATTCTTGGTGACATGGTAGCTTCCGAACTCTTGAGACGTTCTCGGAAGAGCGACGCTTGGGCAGTGCAGAGGGACGGGATGAGTGAACGAGTTGATGGGAACAGATGAGTGCGGGAGAGTAGGGGAAGAGAAGAGACAGGGCAGCAGGTCATGACGAGACAGACCACTGCGAAGTCGAGCAGGAAACGCAGGGGGGGATGGGGAGGGGCAGGATGGGGGCAGGGAGGGGCAGGGAGGGGCAGGGAGGGGCAGGGAGCGGCAGGGAGCGGCAGGGAGGGGCAGGGAGGGGCAGGGAGCGGCAGGGAGGGGCAGGGAGGGGCAGGGAGCGGCAGGGAGCGGCAGAAAAGATCAGGGAAGAGCAGAGAAGATGTTTCGTGAATTCTACACCGTGTCTCCTTGCAGGGACCTTAAGTTTCACTGGGGCCATCTCCCACTTTCCTTTTCGCCCCCTCCCTGTATACCTTCGGTCTGTACTGACTTCTTCTTTTCACTAACCCCTCTATGCTGCATGCGCCTGTATGTCCCGTGACCCGTCTCCTCCCCACGCACCCCACCACTACAGGCAATCCGACCCTGTGGTGATCTCCCCCGCATGTGACCGCATCGATCGCATCACAGCCCTCGAATGGCTCTTCTTCGCCCCGCCTCCCTCCGCCCACACTGCCGCACACATCCCTCCGCGCTCCCCTCCTGCTTCCGCCCCCACTCCCCCTAGCCCGCCCCACTCGTCCTCCTCCCAGCTCCCAGACTCCTCCTCCCAGGCTGACTCCCAGCAGGGGGAACACGATTCTCACCAGAATCATGCACACAGCCAGCAGCCGCAGCAGGAGCGCCACCAGAACCACCACCACCATCAGCACCATCATCATCATCAGCATCAGCAGCAACAGCAGTCACTGCTGTGTGTGGCCGTGGGCACGGCTGCTGGGTTCCTCCTTATTTATGCTGACACGGGCGTGCTGCTGGCTCGACAGGTGCGAGTGCGAGAGAGTGTGAGAGCGTGAGAATGGAAAGGGGGAGAAGGAGTCATTTCCAGAGTGATTGCTAGAGAGTTATCATTCTCCAAACAGCTTTAAAGTGTGAATCTTCACTTGGGAGGGGCGTGGTTCCCATCTTGCTTCCCTTCCACCCTGTCCCCCGCCCACTCCCCCCAAGTTTCCCATGTGCCTTCGCTTCTCATCAGTCCACATGCCCCTTATTACCATCTCAAATCCCCTCTCCTCCTCGTCCTGGCCCGCGTGCTCCCTTCAGATGGTGCACACGCAGACAGTGCTGCGGCTGCTACTTTTGATGAAGCGCCTCAGTGACCCTTTCACCTCCTCGCCCCCGTGCTCCCGTGCTCCCATGCTCCCGTGCCCCCGTGCCCCCTTCAGATGGTGCACACGCAGGCGGTGCTGCGGCTGCGGGTGAGGGGCGTGGATTCAGGCATGGTGCGCAATGATGGGTCACAGGAGCTCTCTGTCGTCACCAGGAACGCCACCGCCATCGTCAGCCCCCTGCAGCTGCTGGTGTGTGCTCTGCTCTCTCTCTCTCTCTCTCTCTCTCTCTCTCTCTCTCTCTCTCTCTCTCTCTCTCTCTCTCTCTCTCTCTCTCACTCTCTCTCTCCTTCTCTTCCTTCCACTCTTCCGTCTATTCCTCCTTTCACTCCTCCTTTAACTTTCCTTTGCCTTCTCCTTTCACAAGCTCCACTCCCCTCCCGCTTTCCTCCCTCTAACCCCACTTCCGTCTCCCCTCACCTGCAGCCACCCTGCCCTCCCTCTTCCCCTTCCACTTCTGGGCTTCTGTCAACTCGGCTCCGCTAATTTCGAAGCCCTCTCCCTTGCCACCTTGCTTCTCCCAACCTGAACCCGCTCGTCCATCTGTCTCTCCCTTTCTCCCATTCTCCACCCGCCCCCCGCAATCTCGTTCCTCTTATCCCCCATGACCCATCCCTCTCCCCCTGTCCCCACCCGTCCGTACCCACCACTGCACTGCACCCTCCCACCCACGTATCCACCCACCCACCCATGCACCCATCCACCCACGACCCACCCACCCACCCATGCACCCATCCACCCACGACCCACCCACCCACCCATGCACCCATCCACCCACGACCCACCCACCCACCCACCGCGCAGCCGCTGCTGCACCGGCGCCTGGAGGCCATAGCAGCAGCGTCAGCCGTTGCGGCGGCCTCCGCGTCTCGCTTTGCATCAGCCTTCAGCTTCATGGGAGGGCCCAAGCGCAGCAGCAGGGAGGAGGAGGCGGGGCATGCCGTGCCCATTCCGTTCCTCAAGTGGCGCACGGGGCTGGGCAGCACGCGGTGGAGCGATGGTGCTGTTGTCGGCATGTTCCCCTCGCCTCTCTTCAACCCGCAGGTGGGACCCGTCTCTCTTCCCACGAAAACCACGATACAAGAGAGATGAGTTTTGGGGCGCCTTGAAAGCTGGTGCTGAGTTGTGGTTGGCATGTTCCCCTCGCCTCTCTTCAACCCGCAGGTGGGATTGTCGCTGGAGGGAAGAGTTTACTTGTAGTAAGTGTGTGTCTTGCTGCCTGCTTGTCTTGCTGCCTGCTTGTCTTGCTGCCTGCTTGTCTTGCTTTTGTTCCTCCTTCCTTCGTCTGCACATCCTGCCAGATTCCGACTTGCCTGATTATTCTCCTTTTCTTCCTTTCCCCTCCCCACAACTTCTCCCCCCACCCCATTCATTTCCACTGTGTGTGTGTGTGTGTGCGCGCGTGCTACTGCACTGCTGTATCCCACTGGCCGCACTGCCTGTCATTGTCATACACAGGCGGCCCTTCAATCCCTCTGTGTTGTGGCTGTTGGCCAAAACCCTTGCATTGCCGCATTCGCGTGAGTACAGAAAAGCACATCCAACCTACCCTGACCTGACCTCGCTCATTTAATCAACCTATCTGTTTCCCCCGTATTTCAATTCAGCTCACGAATCTCCCCTATCCAAAGATTTTTTCAGCTTTGAGAGAGTCATCATCTCGCCAGCATCTCCCCTCTGCTCCCCCCCACCACCTCCTTCCCTTCTTCCCCCCGTGCCCCACCCATCCCTTCAGAGCTACGGAGGAACCAGAATGGGTGCAGCTAGCAGCGTCCATTGTCTCCTCCTCCGCGCCCTCCAACCCAACGCTCCTGGCTCTGGGCATAGTCCCCCGCATGTCCGTGCAGCTGCAGCGCAAGCTCAGCGGCGTGTTGCTCAATGAGATGGGCGGGGGGGGGGCTGCAGGGGGCAAGGGGGACGCTGCCGGGGAGGCTGGTGGCGGAGGCGCGGGGAAAGGGGCGGGTGGAGGGGAGGTGGGAGGGGGGGAAGAGGGAGCAGGGGGTGCGGCGGCAGGAGGAGCCGGGGGTGGAGGCGAGCAGGGGGCGGGAGGGAGCAGGATAGGTCGTAGCAGCAGCAGCAGCGGCAGCGGCAGCGGTGGCGGCAGTGGCAGCGGCGATGGTGGTGGTGGTAGCAGCACTGGTTCTGCTAGTCACAGTGTGGCTCGTTCTGTTTCTGCTGGTCCCACTCATACCAAGTCCAAGCTTCCCCCGTTCCCCCCATCAGCATCAGGACACCACCACTCCACACCACCACTCCCCCCTCTCCACCCCTCTCTACCCACCGAAGACTCCCGTGCATTCGGATTCAACCGGCTGTTCTCCCGTCCAGCCCAGGACGAGCGATCTGAGCCGTTGATCCCGGCAGCAGCGACGGACGCAGGCCGTGCCACAGCGCTAGTGGCGGCGCTAAAAGACCCGCTTAGAAAAGCGACACACTTAGTGCTGTCGCCCAGAGGGGCTCTTATGGCCGTGGCTGATGGGCTGGGGCGTGTTCTACTCATGGACTCTCAGATCTTTGCCGTGCTGCGCATGTGGAAGGTTGGTGAGGGTGGAAAGTGGTGGTCGGGGTTGCAGAGGGGTGGTGGGGGGTGGAGAGGGGTGGGGTGGAAGGTTGGTGGGGGTGGAGAGTGGGGTGGGGCGATTGTGAGCTGTGCAGTATAGTAGTGTACTTGGGAGTTGGATGGGTGAGGAGGAGAGTGGGATGGGCTGTCTGTCGTTCTGTGTGCTCCTGAGGATACTGAAACGTCCGATAGCCATCTTTCTATCCCTCTCCTCTCTGCCCGTCTCCTCCTCTCCCTCTCCTCGTGCAGGGATATCGAGATGCACAAGTGGCCTTCTTTGAAGCGCCCGTGGTGGACGTGGCAGGGGCTCACAGCAGCAGCACCCCCACCACCACTGCCACCACCACCAGCAACGGTGGGGGCAGCGACAGTAGTGGTGGCAACAGCGGCAGCAGTGGCAGCAATATGAATGCGCAACACACCCGTCCCTTCCGCCTGTGCCTTGCCATCTTTGCTCCCAGGAGGGAGACCATTGAGGCGAGTCCTCTTCCCTGCCCTGCTGCTCTCTGCTCTCTGCTCGTTGCTTGCTGCCAGTGTCGTACAATCTCCCATTTCCTTCCTTCCTTCAGCCCTCATCACCCCCACTCCTGCTTCACTATCATGTTCCAAGATGCATCAAAAGTCCAGCACCCACGGCTTGAGCATTCCCCACCACGGCTTGAGCATTCCCCACCACGGCTTTTGTCTTTTCCTGCTCCCACTCACTTTCCTCCCCATCTGTGTGCTCCCCCTCACCCGTTTTCTCCCCTTCCCCCGTTTCCCCCCTCCCTCTCTCCACCATTCCTCCCCTGCCCTCCTTCCCTCTCCCCTTCTCCCTCCCTCTCCCCTTCTCCTCACTTCTCCCAACCTCTTCCCACCTTTCCCCTCTCCCCAAGCCACCTACCACCAGGTATGGCAGCTGATAACGGGCCCTCACATAGCAGCCTTGCGCTGCAGCACCGACACGCGCCTCATACAGCCCTCACCCCCTTTCCTCCCTTTCCCCCGTCTCCGCGCGCCCATCAGGTATGGCAGCTGATAACAGGCCCTCGCATAGCAGCCCTGCGCTGCAGCACCAACACGCGCCTCATGCAGCCCTCTCTGGGCTTCGTAGTGCCCGCACACCTACCCAACCATCCCCACCACCACCAGCCGCACCAGCAGCCGCACCAGCAGCAGCAGCAGCAGCAGCAGCTGCTGCTGCCGAACAGCAACGCCGATGGCAGCCCCAGCCATGGCTCTAGCTTGAGTGCAAGCCCTAGTAGCAGGGTGGATGGGGTAGGGGTGGCTGTGGTGGAGCAGCGGCACAGGGCGTTTGTGCTGCATGGGTCGTCAGGGCTGCTCATGGAGCTCATGCCCACCATCTCCCTTGCTGGCGAGTATGTCCCTGCCTCGCCATCCTCTGTCTCCGGCCCCATCTCCATCCCCATCCCCATCCCCATCCCCATCCCCATCCCCATCCCCGTCCCCATCCCCATCCCCATCCCCATCCCCGTCCCCATCCCCATCCCCGTCCCCATCCCCATCCCCATCCCCATCCCCATCCCCATCCCCATCCCCATCCCCATCCCCATCCCCATCCCCATCCCCATCCCCATCCCCATCCCCATCCCCATCCCCATCCCCATCCCCATCCCCATCCCCGTCTCCATCCCCGTCCCCATCCCCATCCCCATCCCCATCCCCATCCCCATCCCCATCCCCATCCCCATCCCCATCCCCATCCCCATCCCGATCCCCATCCCGATCCCCCTCAACCCCATCTCCATTACCATTTCCATTTCCATTTCCATCTCTGCCGGTTTCCAAGTCGACTAAGAGTTGTCTGCCTCTGCATCTGTCTCTGTCTCTGTCTCTGTCTCTGTCTCTGTCTCTGCCTCTGTCTCTGCCTCTGTCTCTGTCTCTGTCTCCGTCTCTGTCTCTGCCTCTGTCTCTGTCTCTGTCTCTGTCTCCGTCTCTGTCTCTGCCTCTGTCTCTGCCTCTGTCTCTGTCACTACCTCTGTATCAATCTCTTTCTGCAGATACACCCTGTCGCCATAGAGCTGCTCAGGGGAGACAGGGGGGCGCAGGTGGCATGCTGCTCCCCAAGCACATCCCCTCCCCACCGCATGTCTCCCCATGCATTTCTCTCCCCCACTCCCCCCTCCTTAAAATCCCATACCCCTCCTGCCCCCCTGCAGGCTGGTGGGTGCAGGTAAACCCTCAGCACAAGCAGCACTCTTATCCCAAGCGGACATATTTCAGCGCCTGTGCGACCTGCTCAAGCTCAAGCACCGCTCCAAGGACGCTGCCCTCGCCGCTGCCAGAGAGCTGCTCAGGCGAGCAAGGAGGGCGCGCGTGGGAGCGCGAGTGGGAGCGCGGGTCAGAGGGAGGCGTGGTCGGGTGGGTGATGTGGAGGAGAGGGCGGCTGACGTGGATGGGAAGGTGGACGGGAGCGGGGATGAAGTGGAGGAACGGAAAGGGCTGAATGGTGGTGGTGGTAGTGGGGGTAGGGATGGGGGGGAGCATGGGGGGACGAATGCAGTGGTGCAAGGGGGAATGAGCGAAAGGGACAAAGATGATGATGATGCGGCATGGATGGATAGTGGTGACATCACGGGGGAGAAAGGGGGAAAGGAGAAGAGGGAGGAGGAGCAGGGGGAGGGGAAGGAGGCGGAAGAGGAGTTAGAGAAGGAGGAGGAGGAAAGGGAGGTGGAGGAGGAGGTGGAGAGGTGGGGGGAGGTGGGCAGCCAGCAGTGGGAGGAGAGGGTGGTGGGAGTGCTGTTGGCTGGTCTCACTTCTCCCTTTCGCAAACTGCAGGTACTTCTCACTTCTCACTTCTCACTTCTCACTTCTCACTTCTCACTTCTCACTTCTCACTTCTCACTTCTCACTTCTCAATTCTCACTTCTCACTTCTCACTTCTCACTTCTCACTTCTCACTTCTCACTTCTCACTTCTCACTTCTCACTTCTCACTTCACTTCTCACTTCTCACTTCTCACTTCTCACTTGTTCTCTCCCTCTATCGCTCCACCCTCCCTCCTTCCCTCCCTCCCCCCCCCCCCCCCACACACATACACTCATCCTCTCTGTCTACTCCCCATAGGACTTGCTACCCTACCCCTAACACGGAAGCCCATGGAAACATTTCGAGGGTTCAAAGGACTTCCAAGTCATTTTAACTTGTGTGGGCGGCCCAATTGGCTCCATTACGCATTGCATAGAGATTGAAAGAGAGGGTTAATGAAACCAGCCCTCGTTCGCCCTCCTCTCGCTGCACCCATTCCTACCCTCTCCCACCCACTCCCACCCACTCCCCAGGTGCTCGACTTGCTAATCGCGAGCCGGCCGTCCCTCTCAGCTAAGTGTCACTTAGCCATACTAGAAGATGTTTTATGCACGTTAGAGGTCTCCCTAGCTGTCGCTCATCTGCCTCCCCCTGAGCTTCCCCGCCTCGCGGACATAAGCGAGGGTGGAGGAGAAGGGGGGGGGGCTGAGGGCGTGGAGGGGGGTGGCGGAGTGAGGAAGGAAGAGGAGGGGGGAAAGGTTGGAGGGAGCAATGGGGGAATGGCGATTGAGAATGATTCAGGTGTGGCGACGGGTGGCAGTGGTGCGGGCATAGGTGGGGATAAGAAGCCAGGGCTAGCAATGAGTGAAGTGGGTGAGACAGGAAGTATGGTAGGAGAGAGGGAAGGGGAAGCAAAGGAAGGGGGAACAGAAGCTTCAAGTGATAACTCGAGTGTTGCTGCTCCAGATGCTGCTGCTGCCTCTGAAACCGCCTCCGCTGCTGCTGCTGCTGCTGCTGCTGCTGCACCGGCAAAGAAGAGTTGGTGGGGGTCTCTCACGTCTACGTGGAAACAACCAGTGGAGCAGCAACAGCAAGCACAACAGCAGGTGTCGGCTGGCAAAGACGGGTATGAGCTGCTTCCGCTGGTGACAGAAGGCAGAGACAAAGAGAATCCAGAGAAACCGGAGGGAGAGAATGGAGTGGATGAGAGAGGGAGTGATGGGGCAGGGGAGAACAGGGCGGAGAAACGGGGAGAGGGAGAAGCGGAGGGGGAGGAAGTGGCGAGGAAGGCGGACGGAGGGGAAGGTGAGAAGGGCGGTGAGGAGGCACGTGGGGTGGTAGGAGGCAGGGCGGCAGCGGCAGCGGCGGCGGCGGTTCAGAGTGAGTGGTTGAGAGGGGTGGATGTGAGCAGAGTGAAGCATGTGGATGACAAGTTTGTTCTGTTTCTGGAGCAGCGTGCGCGTGCCCTGCGCTTCCAGCACCTACTGGTGGAGGTATACCTGCAACTGGAGAACGAAGCTTCTGCCACTGCTGCTGCTGCTGCTGCGGCTGCGGCTGCTGGTGCTGATGGTGAAGGTGATGTTTCTGGTGCTGGTGATGGGGGAGGGGAAGTTGATGGGGGGAGAAAAGGGGAGGAGGGTGACAGGAAGGCGAGGGGAGGGGTGTCTCTGGACGGGACGGGCTTCTGGCGAAGGCTGCCTGCGCCTGAACTGAGGACCACGGATCAGGACAGAGAGGAGGAGGAAGAGGAAGAAGAAGAAGAGGAGGAGGAGGAGGAGGAGGAGGAGGAGGAGGACGACGACGACGAGGAAGAGGAAGAGGGGGGCACCGCAGGGAACGCAGAAAGCTGGGGCGCCCAGGTTAGTTTGGGGACAGGGATGCTGACCGATACCACGCTGGATGCCAGAGCAGGCATCAGCAGCATCAGCAGTAGCAGCACCAGCAAGACGGATCCGCGCAGATCCTCCCGTGGCAAGAGAGTGCGTCGGAGGTCCATGAGCGATATGGAGGCGGCACTCACGGTGTTTCGCGCGCGGTACGAGGCCCTGGTGGCTGATGTGGGCGCGTGGATTGCTGGCTGTTCCGTGGAGTCCCAGCTGAACAAGCTCTGGATGGAGGGAGAGGATGAGCAGACGAAAGCTCTGGGAGAGGAAGCTTCTGGTGGGAAAGCCACGGGGTTTAATGGTGATGGTAGTGGTGGTGGTGGTGGTGGCGGCATTGGTGGGATGATAAGTGGAATTGGGGGGATAAGCGGGATTGGGGGGTTGGGGGAGGCGATTAGTCGGAGTGACAGCGGCGGTGGTGGCGGTCCGGGGGGTATGATCAGCCGCAGCAGCAGCAGCGCAAGCCAGATGATGGACGAGTTTGGCAGCAGCAACAGCAGCATAGGCAGCAGCAGCAGCAGGAGCCACAGCACTACGACTTCTGCTGCCACCAGTCCTAAAGCATCTGCTCTCTCATCTGCTGCTCAAGGCCCGTTTGCATCTATGTCTGCCCGCTCGCTCGCTGCTGCTGCAGCGGCGGCTGCTGCGGCGGCAATGCTTGGGACGTCTGCGGACCATGTGCCGTGTGTCATGTTTGTGCGATCCTTTGCCTTTGATCTAACGCGCAGCCCCTACTGCCAGCCTGCTGCTCTAACAGTACCCTCAACTGCTGCTGCTGCTGCTGCTGCTGCTGCTACAGCTACAACTGCTGCTGCTGGTGCTGCTGCTGCTGCAGCCACTGCCGGTGTCAGTGTGTCTCACGGGGCTGACAAGGCGCTGAGCATTCAGAAGAGGGTGAGGGTGCGGTGGGGAGCAGGCACAAACCACTCCAACCTCCCCTCAGGAGCCTCCTCCCCTGCTTGCACCCCATCCACCACTCCCTCTCCTGCCGCCTCTTCTCCTTCCTCCGCCTCTGCCGTTTCCTTCGTGCCCGCCGCATGTGCCCCTGCTCCTCTCCCCACCGCAACAGCAGCATCACCAGCGCCGGCCCAGCCAGATCCCCGGCGTGGCTCGGGGGTTATCTGGCTCTGCCGTGCGGCAGATGTGGACGAGTTAGCCGCCCTGGCTAGATTCTTTATGGGGAGAATCTCTCATGGGACGGCAGGGCTAAGAACTCTCCTCTCAGCCATACACAGGCTAAGGCTTCCCAGAGAGGATTGGCAGTGTCTGTTTCTGGTCTGGCTGCGATCGGTTCCTGTTCAAGACATCCTGACCGTTGATCTTCCCGTGCTGGTCGAGGTGGTCCGTCGGATTGGATGCCGGCGGGAGGAGGTGGAAGGAAGGAAGACGGCGAGAGTGGTGTTTTCGCGGGGGAGGATGGGAGGGAGGAATAGAGGAGGGGAGAGTGGGAAGCGAGGGGAGGGAGGCCTGGAGGGGGGTCTTTCTAACAGTGTGCCCCCAGGGGGGAGGTACCCTTTGCTGTTTAGCTGGTGCCAGGTCACCGGGGCTGCTGCCAAGGCTCTGTTTCTGGCTCGGATCTGCACTCAGGTGATAAAGGAGGAGCTGCTGGATACCATACCTGGACGAGAGCCTCGGAAGGGGACAGGCACGGCACGGCAGCAGCAGCAGCAGCAACAGCAGGCATCAGGGGGGGCGCGAGAGGAGGATGAGCATGTGGGAGTGGCTGGTGGTGGTCGGAGTGGGTCTGGCAGGCTGATTGTGGCTCCTCCAAAACCTAAAGATAACGACTTGTGGATTGAGGTGAGCTTTCCCTATCTCCCACTTCCTCCAGCACCCACTGAAGCAATGGCTGCACTGCACTGCACCTATCAGGCCGTGTCTATGTTGGAGCGCCTTGAAAACAGAAACCTCCATACCCATCCCATTTGACCTGCTGCCCTCTTCCCCAGCACGGACTGGAGCAACGGCTGCACCTATCAAGCCACGTGGAGGATGCATGGTTACATTGCAAGGCCATGCCATGCCATCATCTATTTCTGAGGCACCTAAAAGTAACACCTCCTCACCCATCCCATACCACCCTCTCTCCCCCCCCCAACCAGCACGGGCTGGAGCAATGGCTGCACCTATCAAGCCATGTGGAGGACGCATGGCTGCTCGGCCGTGCCATCATACACGTCTGCAAGCTCTCCTCTGCCCGAGGCTATCCGGTTCGGCAGGGCCGCCTGCCGTCCGCAGCTGAGGTCCCCACCTTCCCCGTGCCTCTCTGGGTGGCTCGGTTGCAGCTGCTGCTGTCCCCTTCGGCTCTATTCACGTCTCAGTTGCACCGGGCTTTGCTGAAAGTGGAAAGGCCCGAGCTGGTGAGAGGGATGGCAAATGAGATGGTAGCACAGGTGAGGGTGGTGGAAAGGGGGAGAGGGGAGGAGGGGTTGGAGAGAGGGAGTAGGGCAAGCAGTGCTGGTGGTGGTGAGGGGGAGAAGCTGGGTGGTGGGGAAGGTGGTGGGAAGGGAAAGAAGGGTAGGAGGAAGGTGAAGGGCAGGACAGCCGGAGGGGAGGGGCCGAAGGGCGTGCATGGGGCTAAGGCTAGTGGGGAAGAGGAAGAAGGGGCACCGAGGGGAACTTTGGGTACGGATGGGGAATTGGAAAGGGTCGATGGTGAGAAGGGTGAAGGACGGGAAGCCAAAGAGGCAGAAGAGGAAGAGGAGAAAGCGCGAGAGGAGGAGGACGACGACGACAAGGATGATGATGAGGATGAGGCAGCAGCAGAGGCAGAGGAGGAGCGGCAGAGGGAGGACGAGAGGGAGTCGGTGCAGCTGCTGCGGGAGATGCTGGACCGCTTCCCTGAGAGCTGCCATGCAGACATCTTGGCGTCGCACAGGGCCATGGAGCTCTGTCGCCAGTGGTCCACTGCTTTCTTCCAGAGCGTCAAAGCTGCCCATGTGCCTCTGAAGCCGCCTGCATGTGCGCCGGCTGCTGCCTCTGCTGTTGCTGCTGCTGGTGCTGCTGCTGCGGTTGCAGGAGCAGCCGGTGCGGTGATTGATGGAGAGGCTCCAGATCGTTTGTCTGCAGAGGCAGCAGGGGCAGAGGGCGCAGCGGCAGCTGGTTCTGCTGCTGCTGCTGGAGAGGGTGCTGCTGGTGGCAAGGCAGAGGGCGACAAGGACAAGGAGAAGAGTGGCGGTGCGAAGCAGAAGAAGCTGGAAGGCACGGAAGGCAGGAACGGGCCGGGTCTGTCTATGTCTCTAGGAGGATACGATGCAGAGCCCAGCGACCTGCTTTTCTTCTCCCACGAGCATGTGTCCCCACTGCCCACGGTTGCACTCAAGGGTGGCATGGTCTGCTCCATGTGGCAGTCTCTCATTGGCCAGCGTGCAGCCTCGGCAGTGGCCCTGGTGCAGAGGCTCGGGAGGTGCCCGACGGATGCGGAGTGCGAGCAGTCACTGGGTAGGTGCTCGTGCTTGGACATATGGTCCTCCGATTTCTTTTCTTTGATCTTTTGAGGCGCCTCAAAAGCCGACTGATGCGGAGTGCAAGCAGTCACTGGGTAGGTGCTCGTGTTTGGACATATGGTCCTCCGTTTTTTATTTTCTTTGGTCTTCGGTAAGGGGATGAAGGGGAGGAAGGGGATGGGGGTGGGGTGGGTTGCGCCTTATGCTCCTCGTCCCTTGAGGCACCTCCTGCCTCCAGGTATATCCTTGAAATACCCCAAACGCACCCCTCTCCCCCTGTCGTCCCCACACCACCCCACTCCCCATACCAGGCATGGGCAGTGAAACGACAGCAGAAGCAGCAGGCGCAGTGGGAGCATACGAGCAGATGCTGGTTCTGCTCTACGACTGCACACTCCTCCTTGAGTATGGGGACGGGGCAGACGAGCACTCAGCCAGCCACGATGCGTTTGTCTCTGCACACGACGCCATGTGCCGGGAAGCCATATCGGATTTTAAGCAGGCGCCGCCGTCAGCAGAGACGCTGCATGCGTACATGCTGCTCATCCGCACCATCGGGGTGTCTCTTGCGCTGGATGTTCCTGTCGTGCCTCTCGCCTCCATGTTTCCGCCCACGCTGCTCTCTGGATTTCCCGCGCTTTTCCTGGTGAGCTGGTGCTGCTGCTGCTGCTGCTGCTGCTGCTGCTGCTGGTGTTGGTGTGTGTGGTTTCAGGTGGTTTGGTTGAGAATTCTTCGAAACGAGGTGCCGCGATGTGGTTATGGTGGTTCCTCTGAGGTATGTGTGAGAATTCTTTATGTGTGCCACACCGAAGCATGCCAAATGGAGCCTCGCTGCATCGTATCTCCCCCTCATCCCTCACTGAATGTCCAGTCCATCACGTCCATGTCATCACGTCCATGTCATCACGTCCATGTCATCACGTACATGTCATCACGTACATGTCATCACGTACATACCATCAGACTCACTCCCCGCCGCCGCCCGCCGCCCCCTCCCGCCAACAGACTCTTCGGCCCGATGATTCAGCTTCAGTGACAAAGCGCACAGAAGCGCGGCTTGAGTTCCTTCTCGCTGTACTGGCCGCACAGAAGCGCCGGGCTCACCTCATGGCTAATGCTGATGCTGCATTGAACAAGCTCACTCGCCGCTCGGAACATCTACGAGTGTATCAGCGGCGATATGCATCCACGTCTGCCTTTGCTTTGGCGGAGGATTTAGGGGTACCCCATCAGGAGCTTGAGCGACGGCACCATATCCTGAATTTTCTTTAGCAGCCGATAAGTGATTTGCAGTTCGTGGGTTCTGATGCTTTCAAGTACCAATAGTATGGTTATTTTTAGGAAGCAAGCACTGCAGTTTTGCAAGCAAGCTCACTCCTGCTTTCAGTAGAGTTGAGTCTTTCCCATTATAGGTTTTCATAATTGTCTTAGTACATGATCATCATGATATGCATCAGGCCCTACGATATCAGGAAGTTTCCCCTGAAATTCCTGATTTTCAGCTTACTTTTGTGTACCCACACTGATTTTTCAGTGTGTAGATTTTTGTGATACTGATTTTTCAGCCTTCATTTCTTAGTCAAACACTGATTTTTCAGCCTTTTATCGAAGTGTACACTGAATGCACATTCCTAATCCTTTCTGAAAAACGCCCGAGATGACCAGTACTCCAACCAACAATTGACGACCACTGATTACCTAAGGACTGTAATTATATCAAAGATACTCTGTGGGTGAAAATAATAGTTTTTTCTTTAAGAACCCTGGAAAAACAGGCATTTTTTTGTAAGAACACTGAAAATCAGCCTTTTTTTTACAGGGACCCTGATCTATCAACGTCTCTAAAAGTGAGTCTGAGGGCCCAAGGACGTAGTAATAAACTGACCACCAGCACAGACCATTTAGAGAGTGTTTAACGGAAATATGTTTTATTGCAAACGTACTGTACATCTTATCCGATTTGGTTTTCTATTCCGATAGCGCCCTGGGAATTTAGAACCATGCATCCGCGACAACACGCGCAAGCCGATTGCGGATATATTTCCTTCGCTGTGCTGGATTTGCATGGCATTCCATGCAGCAAGAAAAAGAAATCAAGAACCAAGAGCGAGGTCAAGAAGACAGGAGGAAGCAGAGAAACAAGCAGCACACACAGAGCACATCAAACTCTGATATTCATTCACTATTCATTGCCCATGCCAGCCCTGCTGCGTTCGCTTCGCACGCGACGGAAGTGTCATGCACGGAGAGCTTCACGGTGCTGGAAAGGAGTCTCGACCTCGACTCCTGCCTGAAAGGCAGTAGCTTCGTTCATACATCCCCCATTTTCTTGCCGGGAAGGAGTTCGAAGCGCCGTATCACCTTTCCTTGTCTGGTCGTCGACCCGTGCTGCAAACACTGGCGTCCAGCGTGGTCCGTCTGTCCGTCCGTCCGTCAGTCAGCCAATCCGTCCGTCCCTATATATCGCTGGTGGTGCTCGGAAAGCAGCACCAAGCACACACGGAACACACAGCTCCGAGTGACAATTGCGTTCATGGCTTGCCACGTGTCCGCACTTTCTGCGCATCCTGCGTGTCCTGCTTCATGCAGCCTCCCCCCTCGTCTCTCCTCGTGTCGCGCGCAATTTCAACCCTGCGCGACTCGTCTCGCATCGCGCGCGCCGTGTTTCCCGTGCTGCTGCAGTCGCCGTAAAGAGCGCGCTGCTCGCAGCGGCACGGACTCGGAGTCTTTCGCGCAAGTTATATCTGTGCGATGCGAGACAGCTACGAATCTCGTAGGAATTACTCTCCGGAATCTGAGTACTACTAATAGTACATTTGCTAGTTTACATGTTAGTCGTCCTGCGTCTGCTTCTTTCAGTCGACTATTAACGCCATCTTCGAAAAGGAGATTATTTCCAGCCCTGCCAGACTCTCCCACGCCTCGTCTGCCGCGCGAAACGACGGCGAACCTTTGCGCGCACGCCACAGCTGAGGCCGTGACGTGGAGCCACAGCCTGCCACGTGTCCACGGGACCATCGAATCTGATCGCCAGGGACGCTCGTCCTTATCGTCGCAGTCCGCCGTGCCACGTCAGCGGCAGTTCGGCCGTTTGGCCTCAGTTGTGGCGTCTGGATTCTTGAACGGCCAGAAGTTGAGGTCGAGGTCTCCTGGCGGCGGTTTGGTAAGGTTCAGGTCGCATAAAGGCCGTGTGCAAGCACTTGGCAGCGGAGGTGGTGAGTGTAACGAGGAGGCAAACGAGCTTATAACGGGAGTTGCAGAAGGAAGGAGTCAAGAGGAATTGCCTTTTACCATAAGGAGTGCTGACACTGGTAGTCTTGACAGCGACAGCAGCAGCAGCACCACCACCACCAGTAGCAGCAGCAGCACTAGCAGCAGCAGCAGCAGCAACAGCAGGCAAGAGGGGAATACTCCCAGCAGCATCTCCCCCGCAGCACCCAGCAATTCCCAAGCAAGCGAGTCGGACGACAGGGCAATCGACCCGGCACACGTGGCGTGGCTGCTCAGAATCCGCCCCTCCGCTACAGCCGCCGGCCCTGACAGCTTCAGCAGCAGCTACAACTACAGTGGTGGTCCGTTCAGGCCCAGGTCCCGTTCCTCCCTTAGCAGCAGCAGCAGCAGTGAAAGAAGCAGCAGCATGGCGTCAGGGCAGTTGGGTCGGTCTCAGGTGGAGCTAGTATCATACCTGGAGCGAATCGGTGTGCTGCGCAGGGGGGGGCAGTCCCGGGCGGCTCAGGTGATGCGTCAGGTGGACCGCGGTCTGTTTGTTCCACCTGGGCCGTGGGTGCACGCGTATCAGGACTCGCCCCAGACGATAGGATTTAACGCCACCATCTCTGCCCCGCACATGCACGCCCAGTGCCTGGAGCTCCTGGAAAACCACCTGCAGGTGAATTTTGAAATATGCCTTGCAGGTGAGGTGCACGTCCAGGTGAGCTTCGGCTGTAAGTGGTCCTAAGGTTCTGCTATGCGTGAAACATTTCTGGATCAATCTGGCGCTAGGGGTTAGGAGCAACAGGGAGGTGTGGGCGCAGAGGTGCTAATGACACTCTGATGAGCGACACATAGCACGTCAGCACACCTGTCACCGCTCCCTTCACCTCTTCCTCTTCTCTCATATCCCTCCCAACCTGTCTCCTAACCCTTCTCTCACCACTCCTTCCATCCCTTCATTGTGTGGTTGTTTCCTCTCTGTTGCTGCTCATCCCACTCCGCTCCTGCTGCAACAGCCGGGAATGCGAGCTCTGGACGTGGGGTCGGGAACAGGCTATCTCACAGCGTGCTTTGGCCTGCTACTGGCACCCACGGGGAAGGCCGTGGGGGTGGAGCATATACCAGGTGTGCTGCCTTGCTGCTTTTCACTGCGTGGGGTATTGATGCGACTCGAAAAACGGGGAAATCTGTGAATGTGGCGCTTATACCATACCAGGTGTGCTGGCCTATTGATTTTCATTTTTGCCCAGGCGTGCTGCTATGTGTTGCAGCTCTGGTGTTATTTTTTAAATACTGTTTGGCATGGGGTGGAGCGTGCTTATACTGTGAAACACTCTGTGTATGTGCATGCTGTGTCGATTTTCTAGGTGTGTTTTGAAGTGCTCGCTTTCTGAGGCGCCTCAAAACTGCCTAAACAAAAGCCACCTGCATCAACAAAGTGCCATGGAGTGCAGAGTAACCTCATCCTCGCGGCCCTTCTCGTGGGACTGGATGTCTCTCGTGGGACTGGATGTCTCTCGTGGGACTGGATGTCTCTCGTGGGACTGGATGTCTCTCGTGGGACTGAATGCCTCTCGTGGGACTGAATGCCTCTCGTAGGACTGAATGTCCCTTGAGGGACTGAATGTCTCTCGTGGGACTGAATGCCTGTCGTAGGACTGAATGTCCCTGGTGGGACTGAATGTCTCTCGTAGGACTGAATGTCTCTCGTGCACACGAGTGTGCGTGCAGCATCTCGCTCCCAATGACCGACCTCACACCCCCGCGCCTTACCACAACAGCTTTCCTCCCCGCCGCACCCAATCCCTTGCGCTTGCGCCTTGCGCTTTCCTCCTCCCACTCTCTCTGCAACTCTTAACTGTCCATTCCCCTCACCTTGGTAGCCCCGCGCTTCCATAAACCTCTCACTCACTCATCAGAAGCAACCCCCACGCTTCATAATCCTGTTCACTCCCACTGCGCCTGCAGAGCTGGTGGAGCGGTCGAGGTGACGTTTGAGTCGACTCAAAAGTCAGTCTGTTACTCCCATTGCGTCACGTCTGCAGAGCTGGTGGAACGGTCAAAGCGGGACGTGGCGAGGAGCGCAGCGGGGCATCTGCTGGAGAGTGGGGTGATAGCGCTGCACGCGGGGGACGGCAGGCAGGGGTGGCCGCATGACAGCCCGTATGATGCCATCCACGTGGGGTGAGCCGAGAGGGGTCGAGAAGAGTGGGCGGAGAGGAGGAAGGATATGGGGGGGGTGGGCAAGGGGAGGAGGGGGGGATGGAGGGAGGGGGGTGGGGAGCAGGGAGGAAATGGGAGGACATGCTGTTCAGGGGCTGTGGGAGTGATGCAGGGAACTTGGGGGTTGTGTGGCCGGTTTATTTGGTGGTGAGGTGCTTGGGGAGAGAATGAGAAGGGGCTGTTGATGTCTCAGTGGTGGTTGCTGTTCTTTGGTGCTGTTTGCAGCGGGGTTTTCTGGCTTGTGTTTTCCATTAAAGTTGCTTGCTAGTGCTTGCTGGTGCTTGCTAGTGCTTGCTGGTGCTTGCTCGTGCTTGCTCGTGCTTGCTCGTGCTTGCTGGTGCACCTCAGAAGCAGCTGACAGCGTTGTTTTAACCATGGCTTACTTCCCGGCTGCCACCGCTCAACTTACAACCTGAATGTTACTCATTTCCTCTTTCTCCCCTCAGCTCTCAACCGCCCAACTCGCCATCCCTGTTGCTGCCTTCCCTCTCCTGTCTTCGTTTACCTTATCCCTTTGCCCTTTTCTCGCTGCCCCCTTCCCCTTTTCCCCTTTCCCCTTCTCCTTTCCCCTTCCCCTTCCCTCACCCCCTTTCCCCTCCTCCACCTCCCAACACCCCACTTCCAGAGCGGCAGCACCAGAGATTCCACTGGCGCTGAAGCAGCAGCTGAAGGAGGGAGGGCGGATGGTCATACCCGTGGGCACGTGGTCACAGGATCTGCTCGTGGTGGATAAGCTGCCAGATGGCCGCTTCAAAGAGAGCCACGTGGCGTCTGTGCGCTACGTGCCGCTCACCAGCAAGGACGAGCAGCTGGAGGGGTACTGAGGTGTTCTGAGGGTTGCTGAGGGGGCTGAGGGGTGCTGAGGGGCTTGAGGGGTGCTGAGGGGTGCTGAGGGGTTTTGACAGGCTGTTGGTGGATTCGTTCCGCGGGCTAGGGTGTTTCGTGTCTGTTGAAATTAGAGGGCATGGGGGGGTCTGATCTGAGGTGCGAGCAGAAGGGAGGAGGAGAGAGGAAGGGGATAGAGGCAACGATTTTTTCTTACAGGTGAAGCTTGTGATTGGAGAAAGTGGGTGTGTACAGCAATATTTTCTGTGGGTATGTGTTGTTCTGGTGGGTTACACTCTTGTGCTTTGTTGAGGCGGGTATATGGCTGTGTGATTGTGTGTGCAGTCATGTGTGTATGTGTACTGTGCTGCTTAGGTACACATGGGGTGGGAAGATATGGGTGGAGGTGTGTACTGTTAGTGCAGCCATCTACGGTAGTTGAGTAGTAAGGTCTTGCGAATACAACTTGAAATGGTGTACTTGTACATAGGGAGTTTTGCAGCATGGTACTGTAGTACACTGGACGTTACACGTTACAACCAAAGAATTTCACTACACAAATTTTTGCTGCAAATTGTTACCGTACCAACTTTTTGCTGAATACAAATTGGCTTTAAATGTTGATCTGACTTGCTCCTGAGGCGGATTCATTTCTGATCCTGATGCAACCTAGTAATTGTTAGCGAAATACGTTGGAGCAGGGCCCGTGCTAGGAATTGGGGCACCTTGAGGCCTAAGGGCACTTGTCAGGGCAAATTTTCAAAGCCTTCCTGTATGTTCAGGGCTTCTACAGACATTAATCCTGACCTGTCAGGGCAAAAAAACCTGTGTTCAGGGTTCAGATTTCAGCACAGACCAGACCAGACTCTGCTGTGCAGAGCAGAGCAGCATGGCACACGACGAGATAGTAGTGTTCCCTGTTTCCCCCATCTGATGCGTTTGGTTGGTGCGTTGTGCAGGGTCGGAAGTGCAAGGGGGTCGCAAAGGCGGAAAGCAATCCGCACGGGGAAAGCAATCCGCACGGGAAAAATCTCCGGGGAACAAATTCCCGGAAAACGGTAAACCCCCCCCTTCACCCCCCCCCCCCCCCCCCCCCAAAAAAAAAAAAAAACGCGTCAGGTCAAGCCTCGACATTCATCCTGACGCTACAGGGAAGAACACCACATCCATCTGTCAGAGTAACTGTGCAGGAATGATTGGATTAGCAAGAGTTAGGTGTCAAGAAAGGAACTAATGATGTCATTGATGTGAGTTGGGGTGCATATAACAAACCCTAACTTCTGTACCCCCTAAGACAAACCTCACTAAGGCTACAACATTTGACACACCCCCATAGCCTAAGTGAGGGGTGTCTAGCAAAACCAAAAGTGTACGGTCACAAGACCAGTCACAAAGATACAAAGCTCAGGGTGGATCACAACGTCACCACACATTCTGAGCACAAGCAACAGTGGCCACAAGGCCAGTCAAAGAGTTCACAAGTGTGTATAGCAAGAGTACAAGCAAAGCAAACAGTAAACTCAAGCCTATACACGACTAGAACCTGTGTCAACAAGGCCTAACTGCACACAACACCTCTGGTGGTCACAAGGCGGAAGCGCCTTGGTGAAGATGTCTGCAGTGTTGGCCTCGGACTCCACAAACTCAAAGCGAGCCTGTCAGGGCCTCAGATTCGTTTTGGGTGACCCTGAGCACTCAGGGTCCTTTGGGGCTGTAACACTGATCATCAGGGTTGTAAATGGAGAAACACTGATTTCTCAGGGTTAGAAAAAAAAAAACCCTGACACATCAGCGTGAGTTAAAAAAAAACACTGGGTGAGAATCCACAACAACTATCACAAGTATAATAAGTTAAGAAAAGTTCAAATATGGTTCTAATGAGCTTCTAATCTAACTACAGGCACAGACCACTCGGCGCTCACACCGCACACACAATTCACATCACACACATGTCTTCATCTTCGTCACTACCACCACCATCGCTCATAGAACCGTGCCTGTGCACGGGGGTCTCTGTCCCCCACCCAGAGCCAGCACCACCAGCATCATCCTCGTCCACCTTCTCTTTCCCCTTAGCACTAGGTTGCTTCTTTGGTGCTGCCACTGTTGTGATGGGCTTGCGCTTCTTGTACGCCCTCCAGATCTTCACCACCTCCGCCCAGTCGGGCTCGTACGGCAGCAATGCCATGCACATGAGGTCCGACAGCCGCGCATCCTTGATGGCACCCCTCAGCCAGCTCTTGATGATGTTTTGACGTGAGAACCCCCGCTCGCACTCGACTGTGCTCAACGGTAGCACAGCGACAGCCATCCACAGCTTCACCAGGTTGGGGTACGCGTCCTCCCAGTCAGGAGACTTCAGCATCGCCGAGAGACCCGGGTAGAACTTTCTCTCGGACTTCGGGGCTCCAGCGAGAACCGTGCAGAACGTGCGGAGCTCCTTGAACGCCTTCTTCTTGTTGACGCCTGGAGGGAGTCAGGGAGTGCGCAAGCACAAGGAAAAGAACAAGGTAAGCAAGGCTCACCAGACAAGTGGTGCCAGTGTTTAGGTGCTACACAACAAAGCAGCACAAACAACGATGCACAGACCAAAGAGAAGTACGTACCTGGAACGATCTCGTCGCACTCTTGGGCCCTGAAGAGCGTCGTGAGGGACTCAAGGTGCTCCGTGCAGACCATGGAACGCTCCTGCCGTCCATGGGGCCACTCGTCGGGCATGAACAGCTTCACACCGCTCAGCTTGTCGAGTGAACCCAATCGCTCATCCAGGTTATGCACGAGCGCCTCCGCCATCGCCGTGCACTGCTCCACGCATCGCTCATGGGTCCCTGCAATGGGGTAGCCTTCAAGAGGGGAATCATGCAGCACGTAGCAGTGAGAAGTGGGCCGGCCGTCGGAGTCAACCCACTCGACCTCCACTCTCCGCACCCCATTCGGTCCATGTCGTGCAATGAAGGGCGACAGCTTCTCGCTCAGGCCGCCGCCGAAGTCGTCGCCACAATCCACATAACGGCTATTGATGTGGGTTGTCGTGCGACGGATCTGGCCTTGAATCGCCAGCAGGTCAATCTGCCACACAAAAACAGTAGGGAAAGCACAGCCAGGTTTCAATCATGAAGTAGAACTAGCCGTAGCTAGCGGCCCTAAACCCACAGTCCTCACGGCACACAGGGATGCACAGGCAAAAGCAGGATCTCACCTGTCGATGCTGGAACGTCTTGCTGAGCACGTTCAGCTGTTCCAGCACGTCAGCGAGGAAGCGCAGCATGAACTGGAATCTGTAGCTGGTCACCATCTGGTACATGGGCTTGTTTCCCAGCTCGTGCACCATCACGACGACCCCCGGAAGGACTGCAAGAAGTCGGCAGACTGCATCGCCGCGTGAGAGCCAACGCACATCATTGATTCCTTGGAGCTCCAGGTTAGTCTGAGTGAAGACTTCCTGAAGGTCCAGGAAGCGCTGGTGCCAGGGTCCTGATGAGCCGAGGTAGGTGGAGAGCCAGCGGATGAAGCTGTCGACCATGCCAAACTCCGGTAGGGACTCTGCCGCGTCCTTGGCCGCGAGTGCTTCCCTGCGATTAAAACAAAAAACAGTCGCATTTGGTTAAGTAGAAGGAAGGACACCATGTTCAAATAACAAATACCAGTCGCATCGGACACTGCATCAACCACCGTACCTGTGAGCGATGCAGTGGCAGGACACCAGATGCGGAACGCGCGTCCTCAGCCTCGCCACCAGCCCGTTTTTGGATCCGACCATGACGCTCGCCCCGTCGGTGCTGATGCCCGTGATTCGGCGCAGGTCAATGCCGACGGCATTGACATGGGATAAGAGCAACGCCACCAGCGATGCGGCGTCTGCCCTGTCCACGGTTAGGAGGGCAAAGAACTCGGTGACTACTGCCCCGTCGCGGATGAATGTGGCATAGATGATGAGATGCTTCCCACGGCATCTGTCCGTAGACTCGTCACAGCTGAGGCCGATGTAGTGGCTTTGTAGGACGTGTTCGAGTTGTGTTGTCTGCAGCCACACGGCCGTTGCCTGTGTTAGTTCCCCAAAGCCGTACCTGCATAGACACCGAACATATTTGTTAGGCTTACGTGGTTGTGAACAGGAGAGGCTTTTAATGCATGCGCTCGTAAGCACTTACGTGGTGTAGTAAGTGCCGTATCCCTTTTTGGGAAAGCCGCGGACCTCGTTCTGAGCCATGTAGCGAACGAGGCGCACCCACGTCTCCATCGGCAGATGGTTCTGGGTGGTGAAGTGAAGGGAGTTCAGAAGGCTGATGACGCGGGTCGTCTCGTCATCTTTGGCGAGCGTATGCTCGTCAATTCTCGGCTGCTTCCCAGCCTGAGCTAGCATCTGCTTCTGGTGATTGATGGCCAACTGGTGCTTGTTCGTCGCGGCATGCCGCTTGAAGGCTTGGGTCTGAAGATCGGTTGCACCGTGCCCACTCTTGCCACACTTGCCACCGTCACCTGCAAAGTCGATGCACAATCTGCACTTGAACGAAGGCATGCCAGCAGTGTTTTTTATGAGGATGAGCCATGGGTAGTCGGTCGACCACGTCGACTTGAACCTTTCAAGGGCCTCTTCGTAAATCAGAGTGGTTAGTGACGGTTTTTTAGAGTTAGATGGCGTGGGCGTAACGTGGTTTACCGACTCGCCGGCATCAGCGAGAGGACGTCCAGGATCTGTAGGATCGGCCCAACGGAGCACGGCCTGCTTGTAACGAGGCGGAGGCTTCGACGACGACGCACGAGATGACAAGCGGACGCTCGGTCCGGCTGCTGACGGCACGGCCGGCTTAGCAGTATGCGCGGGCTGGGGACGATCGTCTCCGCGGCAGAGGCCAGACGCTTCACCAGTGTTTGCTACTGAGGCGACGGGACCTGGCTTCTCTTTTTCATGGGAGAGCGCGGAAACTAGAAAATCTAGTCCCGTTCTGGCCTCCAGCATCTCGGTGGCGGCGTAAAGTGCATCGTCGTCATCATCACC